TAAGGTAATGTAAGGTAAGGTAATGTAAGGTAACTATGTAGGTAACCATTGTTGTTTATTTGTTGATAAACAGATGACGTTTCCAAGGTAACATAACAATGAAGTTACACCTTTTTTTTCCTTTTTCGTAACAATTTTTCGTTAATATTTTTGCCGAATGACACTGACCGTAAAATATAGACGTATTTACGTCAAAAAAATACTGACTCGAATATCCTTTATTTTACTTTTTAATTTTTATTTCCTTACACTGCGTTCATATCTTCTTCTGAGCAACATATCTTATCGGAACATTTAAAAAATCTGTCTGTTGACATTTATTTCATTTAAAATATTTTTAAAAACGACTTTATCTGGTAGCATCCTTGGAGCAAAAAGATGTATATGACCACAATTTGCTTCATCAAAGTTTTTATTTTTGCATCATTATAGTAGGGGATACAAGCCTATAATATCATATCATTTTGACATTTGTAAATAAAAAATATATCATTATTTAGAACCCAATTTTGATGTTTTTTACAGTCTAATAGAAAAGGTAATGACATGATAGCTGTAATAAAGCACAGAAATAAATAATTCTTGCCTGTTTATTTGTTTTATATTTTGACTCTCTATTTAATTTTAGGCGTTTTACTCGGGGTAAAATGACACGGACATTGAAGACCAAATTAACAATCTTTCCAAAATTATATCTTGAATTTTATTGGTACTGAAAGATAACTTATGTTCACAGTGATATCTTGAACAGAGGGCTTTCACATATCATGGCAGTTTTCACATCAAATGTTTCTCTTTCCATTTCTCTTTCGTTTGCATACGTCACAGATGAACTTTTTTTCTCTTTTCGAAACGTCAGTTCACTCAGAGGATAGCCATAACTTGCATTTAGTATCTAACTGAAACATTTCGCGCACTTGCCTTCCACACTTTCTCGAATCCTGTTTTATCTTTTCAGCAGCTTTTCCTACACTTCATTTACGTAAGGACTGCTGGTTAATACAGCGGATCCATGATTTTGTTTTTCTCTTTCTTTTTTGGCTTCAGACATTGCAAAAACAGCTCATCGGTCATCCAACCGGTCTCATGATCAATTCCTAAGATTCCTAGAGTCAGGGTAAATTGACATAGTATGTAAATTTGCCCTGGACACAATATCCTAGTTTAAACTTTTTTCCGTTTTAATAGGTATCAACAGTTCATATTTTATAGTTGCAATGAATAGAAGAAACCTAATTTCATATGTATTAAATTATGAAGCACGAAAATATACGCATCGCATCTGTCCACGTCGACAGACTGACGTTTCCTGAGAACATTTTCGTCTTGAAAAAAGACATAACAAATTACAAACGCGAAGCTTTCGGATCTAGTAAACTTGATCACGATATTAAATTTAATCGCCATCGCAGAGGATCGTAATATCGAGACCTCAGTAATTCGTCAGAGTGAACTGCATGCGACTTCGGTGCAAGTTTAGATGAAGAGAAATGTACTAGATGCTGTGCCATATCTCGGGTGTTTTTAAACTTTTCCAAACCAGGGACCATACTCTACTATTTCTGTACAGACCGACACGAACGAAGACAGGTGGCGCAGAGAAAGAAATATATGTAAAATGGTGGCTGCTTCACGCTTGAAACAACAGAATAATTTGTACATAAACTTTCATAAGCTGACTGTCAGATCGGAAGTGACAATAGATACGCAGAGGCTTTCAAAACTCGGCCGCCATCGTTAAAGTCGGTCATTTAAAAACTGTTTGTTTGTTAAAACTGCTGCTAAATTAGTCCTATTGTTGGAGACAGTTTCATATTTTACTCAGTTTTCTGTGACAGTATCTGTCATTAGTGAGGTATTAAATGCTGCTTTTGATATGCATTAATTCAATATCAGGTTTAATTCAAAGAGTTCAAAAGTAAGATACGTCCAATATTAGCCGTCACCAAATTGGATGCTTCAGTGCCACAAAGTAGTTCACACGTTCACCACGCATTTCTAAATCACCAATAGAGTAAAGTTTTTCTTTGCTACGCTGCGAGTGCTGCGCTGTAGTGACTAGCAAGGGATCCGGTATTCGTGTTGCAACGCTGTACTATTTCGTTTAGCCTCGAAGCATGCAATTTTCTGACGGCTGCTGTTGTTTCTATTTGACCTTTATTATTAAGTTTATGATTTGTTCACACCAACAGTTACTGCGAAACACTTCCCAAAATGACAAAGCGTGCTCTTTGCCCTTAGCTGTGACACAGTGTTACTAAAAATATACGCACGGCGCTCAAAACATCGGTGGACCTGTTGACAAGCCCTGGTATAGCCAATGAGCAGATATTTCTGAAGTGCGGGAAGATTCAAAAGGAAATTAAACTCCAGTTATTTAATCATTTAATCTTTAGTGTGTAATTAAAATATTACCTGATATCCTCAAAAAAGGCATCCTTCACTCCCGCGATGGTGAAATTCCTTGAAGATGCGTTTAAACCCATGTGTGTCAGAGAAAATTTGTCGACCACTAGTGGATCCAAGACAGGGAAGTCATACTTCCGATCTCCTGAGAAATGTAGAATATTCTTGAAACAGATATCAGCGACCTAGACATCTACAAACCATTGCTAAATATTCCTCACGCATAAAATGGATGTACAATCGAGCGGAAATGGCTCGATTGGCACATTCATTGCCCTGATGACGGAGGCTGTATGACCTCTGAAACGTTGGTTAGCATCGACAGACTACACGGCGCAACAACTAAGAAGATGGAAATTTCATACTCACCGCTGTGAAAACCTCTAATCTTATATATACATTTTTCATATGCTGAATGAGCAATCCAAATTTATTTTATAAATACATATGAAAATGTTAAACCATCTTTACCTTTAAAAGAGCAATGGTATTACAACGTGTTTGAAAGACCATGTATTATCTAATCTTCCACTTTCGAAAAATTATTATTTGTGTGTATTATGACGTATTTAATTGAATCCATATTGGGTACACCAGCTTTAGAAAAGGATTTATTTTACATATATTTTTAGTTTACGTTCCTTGATGTTACTTTTAAGTTTTGTAAATGGGACACACGTTGACTGCTAAAGCTCATTTTGCAGTGTTTGGATATGGTGAGGGAGACTCGGGTTTGATTCTCATTTACGGCATTTATTCACCAAATTTGTAATGACTTTAGAGGTTGTATAATTTATTTTATTTTTAAGTCTTTATTTTATTTATTTTCTTTCTTCCATTATTTTCGTTTGCTAACAACAGGGGACGAAGATAATTTCTCAGCTTAAAAGGTTAAAGATTTACCAGTTTTTTGCATCAGTGAAGCTTTACATTTTCTGAAAACATGTTACGGTGTTCATGGCGTACTGCCAGACTAGTTACACCACATTATGATTTTTGAAATATAAGTCAACTTGCATTTCCGGATGAAGAAAGAACAGCAAAATACGAGTGCAGCAGATAAGCAGCAAAGATTGCTGTCCTCTTGGTTATTGCGTTATGCTGTCTGGTAGATTTCCAGCAACGTTTGAGAGGTCATACTGCCTCCGTCATCAGGGCGATTAATGTGCCAATCGAGTGGGAAAGGCTCGATTAGCACATTCATCGCCCTGTTGACGGAGGTAGTATGACCTCGGAAAGGTTGGTGGAAATCTGCCAGAATACACGGCGCAACAACCCAGAAGACAGCAATCTTCAGACCCACCGCTATGAAATCTCATATCCTACAAATAAGCAGTAGTTACTGTAGGAGAACCAAATGACAAGATTTTATTTGAAAAAACCAGAAGTAAGATTAGAATTAAGTTATTAGCACATCTTTGAATACGTATTTACAATAATAGCAATGTCTTTTGCCGTTACTGTAGCATTATAAAAATGCGGAAGGACAGGTACAACTTTAAATTATGATTATACGTTGTTTATAATCGAACAATAATAGTTTATACAAAAGACGTTGGATGCTTAGCTGAGAAGTTACATTTAATATAGACTTTTGAACGTATCTGAAATATAGTGTCTCATAACGATCACTGCATCTGGGAAGTGTTGCGTAGTAACTCACCTTCGATAATTCTCGGAAAAGCAGCTCTACCACTCTTTAGTGCGCATTCATTGAACTTGGGATCATTTCTGGAATACGGTTTGATGTAGTCAGCTGAAAAGTATTCAGAATAACAAACATTAGCTCAAGAACATGCCGATAATAAACTTTTCTACACTGTTTTTCGTTATCGTATATTTTAAGTGGGACTGTTTAGCTAATGGTTTGTGAAAAGAAAACTCTGAAGCTGAATGAAGACTCTTTCAAAACAATGCGGTATGGGGATGCTCGCCGGCCGCAGTAGCCACGCGGTCTGAGGCATTATCCTCGTGCGCCTTACTGCTGCGACCGTGGGTTCGAGTCCAACTCAAGTGCGGGATGATTGTCCACTACCAACCAGCACTGGTCAGCGTTTTATTGTATGGCTAATATCCTCAAATAGGGGACCTAAGTCCAGTACTGGACATTGAGAGGTTAAAGGGAAAAATGGGGACTCTATTGTGGTACTGTGGATTGTAGAGGTACAAACTGAAATAGCGTTGTTAAATCTAGGCGTGTACACTGAATGCGTAACATCTGAGACGGAGCTTGCGAAAGTACATCAAGTCCTTTACGGTTTTGAAAAAGAAGACTAGAAAGTTATGAGAAGCACACTTAATGTCTGAACAAAAATTAGCTTAAAGTTGAGACAAGAAGAAAGAATAAACTTATTTCCAGCTTTATTCCGAAAAGGAGCCTGCAACTACACGACCAATGTTTGTGGCATTTTGCAAATATATCGCTCGGCCTTGATGTGGAAGTCGTAGCAGTAAAAGAGCGACATAATGTTTCAGTTAAACTACCGGTACCGCTCTGTTATGTGAGTCAGTAGTTCAGCCAATACATTGACTGACTACGGGCTGGGCGATCAAGGTTTCGATCCACGACAGATGAAGATTTTTTCTAGCTTCTTCATCCAGACCGGTTTTAGAACCACTCAACTTCCTGCCCAATGAGAACCGGAGTCCTATGCAATTTCGCGAATTCAAGTCGATAAAGTTTAAAGACTTGAGAAGCACCTCAAGAAACTTCTTTTTGCTAGAGTCATGAAAATGTTAAATTTGGAAGCTAAACTGCACTTTCTTAGCCGTGAAAAATACTATTTACATAATGAAATATCGACAGTTTCGTGTAATGGCTGAAATAGGAAATGTAGTGCAACACGCTATGAACGGAAATGCTATAATTTGAACAATAAACATATTTATAATGAAGATGGCTGTCTTCTGAGTTGTAGCGCCGTAGTCGTGCTGATAATGGAGGCATCAGGTACTTGTGAAACCTCGAAAGAATTCTACAAGACTTCACGGCACTGCAACCAAGAAGGAAGTGAGAACCTCAAAATCTCAACAACATGCTGGGATACGTAACGAAGTCCATAGTTTATAGATCATAGTCCATAGTCATTCTAGAAATTAGAAAATTTTCAGCTAGTCAGATTATTTGTCTTTTATGATACCCTAAGATCCATTTCCGAGGTCATTATAACCCCCCTCCCCCGGTACTAACCTGATGGTTGAATCCAGCTGATGCACTCAAACTAGATTTCTTTATTTATTCTTCCTTCTGTGCCTAGAACTCTCATATGGTGTTTTGTTCTGAATTTTTCAAACAAAAATGTGGAATATGTTTCTCTCATGACATCCCTCCATGCCACATGTTTGCTCTACTGAGCTTGAGTTATTTAATCGAACTAACACTATTAGTTTTGCAGCTCATGAACATGTATTTAGAAATAATGAATGATGCGCATACTGATCACACTGGAGGCGCAAAAACCTCTTTTCTTTGATGCTAATGAAGTACTTACAGGAACTAAATATTAATATTATCAAAGTGGGGGCATACTATACAAGTTCATAGAACACTCTCCGCCTGTCCACGGAATATTGTGTAAAAATAGCGAAAAACTGCTTAGATGACGATCGTTTGGAAACAGTTGTGCACTCCGCAAGGAATCGTATGGATGTATTTGCTCTTCATAAATTACTTCGGGGACCTTCGGTTCGGATAGTCCGAAGTCTCGTGCGATATCACGTGAATTTCTCTACGGCTGTCAAACCACACCTGCAAGTATGGGGTCTTCATTGGGTGGCATCCGTGCAGTCTGTGGGAGACCTGCATTCATATGTGCCGTAGAGTTCCATTTAAGGTACGGATGACGTCGACTAGGATAGTACCGGTTCGACTGTTACAGGCACCGAGGCTTATGAGCATTCGCTGTATTGGTCGTGTTTTTTCCATGATCATTCGATTTCAGTTTAGCTCTGCTGTGCACTGTCTTGAGCACAACTAACAACGAACTCTACGTATCGTCATGATAAATAACAGATAAGAAATGTGTTACCATATTGAAGGTGACGTTCATCTCGAAAACTATGCGTCCCAGTACATATGTTGTTTAACATTTTGCACTTATTTTGTGACACTATGGACATCATATGCGCGAGTTTCGTTTCAATTTGTATAATAGAGAAAATACGTATTTGGTAATATTTTAAAGAAATATCATCTCCATCTGAGGCAATTCATGTGATTCGGCCCACATAAAGCGGCGAGAACACCTACACGTCAGTCGAATGAAAGTTTTTTCCCAAGAAATAACTATTCTAATGTTCTGCATTCGTATCGAGGAAAATATGAAAAACTTCCTTTATTACAGCTAAAATTACCGATTGGATCTGAGTGTAGGTCTAAAAACAAGGTTGTCCTTAAAATAGCTTAAATGTAAAGAATCTTATACATCATAATAACCATATTATGGAAGTGCTATATATTGTAATATTTTTCACCAAGATGTATAGAAGGACTCCGAAAACAGTTATGTAGAGTCGTCCATAAAGTTATCCCCTCCCAAAATTAAAATTGGCCCATGAAATTTAATATATGTATCCTATATCGATTTTGATCCAAATCTGTTAGTCAGTTTGTACCCACTTACTATGCTATGGGATAGGTGAGTAGGTGAGTTCGGCTTTTCCTTTACGGAAGCGGCCAAAGACATGCAAGGAGTAGGATTGTTGTGAAGCAAAATTCACTTTTCCGGCTAAATAATTGGAGACTCTAGAAAAATCTTTGTTGTTGTAAAATATAATAGATACAAAAAAGAAAATCATAGA